GTTTGCTACCACTTTCTGTATGGACACAAATGTTCGATCACAGGCAATCCTAAAGCTGGCATTGCGTGCCACTCCACAGCAAGGATATCGAGCCCGCACACAGCAGCTGGCTGTGTGACAATGACATGCCGCAGCACTTTGTACTCATGGCCTTCAATATCCAACTTGACGAATACGAAATCGCTCGCATCTACAATCTGTGCGAGGAACGACGTGGCATCCATTGTGTGCACCGTTTTTGGCACGAAACCCTTGCCGTCAGAGATAGCGACCTGGCTGTTACTATGCCATCTTCCCTTCGCATCTTTGTAATGTTCCGCTTTTGAACTCTCGAGGCTTGCATCCACGCCTGCCCCCTGCATTTCAACGTATAAAGTACGATTTGTGGTGCTGCTCACGCTCAATGCAGTTCCAACGAACAGCTTCACGTGGTAATCCCTGGAAAGTCGCTGCTCATACAAACTCAAGCGAGTGCTCCATCTTGGGTTTGCCTCAAAGCCATAGTAGCAGTTCTCCCGAGGCCGTGATCTACATTTGTGTAAATTACGGGACTGCTTCTGGGAGAGCCGGTCAAGCGCTGGATCCCGCCACCATTTCATCAATGAGCTGCCATCGTTCAGTCCAACGTCGACAAAGGTGCATTTACAGCGGCAAACGCCGAAATATTTTTCATGCAGCGTTGATGAACGCATGCACGAACCAATGGAGAGTAAGGTCATGACCGAAGTAGGCATCCGTTGCAACGACCTGGCGGGAGCGGGCTAAAAGCCCTGTCTCGCCCGAGTCCTGGGAAAGTATAGTAAGTTCGTCTCGGAAAGGAATTTTACCTGTGCACAAGAGAATTTTACGGATAGAGAAGTGAAGAAGTCCTCCAGCACAAACGCGACCGTGCTAAAGCATGCGATGGTCCCACCCATCCACGCAAGGAGCCAGTTAGAATTTTACAACAAACGATCGCTCCTCATCGCAAACCCCGTCAGCAGTCCTCCTCCGGGAATGTACGTAAGAGCTACATACACTGACAAAACTCCCTCGCACGACACTGGGCACGGAGCCAGTTAGAATCGTTACCAAAGAAAGTCGCCCGACCGAGGCCCATCCATCCATGTCCGTCCGCGAGCCCCCAGCTCGCCGACGGCGAGAGAGATGCCACGAGGGGTCGCGGTGGCGTCCATCGCCAGGCTCCCTAGCTCAACCGACGACCCTCGTGCCTCGGGATCGACGGCCGATCGTCATCAGACAATGAGGTCGAGAACCGCATCGGCGGCCTCAGCAGCGTCTGCAGAGAGCCGATCAGACTCGGGTCCACGGTGAATGTCAGGTCTGCACTAGGCTCACACACAAGTCAAGGTAGATCTAAATACCGGGGGAGGTATTTCCTATGCTTCACAGCCTTGTTATTGAGAAGAAAATACGTCCTACTTCACACCTGGCGGACGGGACTGCGCACACCGTGGCGCACACCGTGGCGCACAAAGAAACGTGAACAGGCCCCACTGCCACTCACCTTGGGTGGTGCAGGTTAGGACTTCCGCGGCGCCGCTCTGGGCGGCGGGCTGAGCCGATCGTAGCGGCGAGCCTCGGTCGAACGATGCATGAGGCCCGTCACGGACAGCCGCTGAGCAGTGAGCTCCTTCTGCTCGTGGGCGCCGGCGAGGGCACGCCTGTGCTGCCGGCATCGGGCGAGCAGCAGCGGCGCCCGATCGGCGTGGTCCTGGCGGACGAAGCCTCTTCCGTGGCCGCAAAGCCGGCCGCCGGCTCACGCTGGTGCTTCTCCGACGCGGTCGAGTCCGACCCGGCCGGCCGCGACTTTGCGCGCTCCACCGACTGCTGCACGCTCCGCTGGACGCCTGCAAAGGGCCGTCACGCCACTGCGACCCGCGAGATCTCGCGTGGACGCGTGCTTCTGCGGGCCTCGGCTGCGGCAGTCGCCAACACGGCTGCGAGCGGCGCGGCGACGGCCCTCCTCGCGGAGTCGTCGGGGCGCGACGGCGCGGCGGCCTCTGCGGACGCGCAGCGCGTCGGGCTGGACGCGTCGACGCTCGCTCTCTCGCTCGAGCTCTTGCGGTCGGGTCGCGAGGCGGCCGAGGAGGCGGCGGGGTCGCTGCTGACGCACCGCGAGCACCTATCCGCCGCCGAGGCGGAGGCGTGGGAGCGCACCGCCCAGAGACTGCGCTCGGCTGCGGCCAGCTCTGGTGGCTCTGGTTGCTCTTGTGCGTCCGGCTGGAGTGATGAGGCGGTGCTGCGGGTGCTGCTCGCGGTGC